CAATTATTGGAATGAGAGTCTGCAGAGTTAGGAAATATTTTACACTTAATTTAAACGAAAAAAAGGCTAGAGACTATAGTGATTTTCTGATTTTTTTATCCTGCAGATTTAGATTGCTCCCAACCCTAACTCACAAAAGGGCCTTTCCTACAAGTTCCTGATGGTAGAAGAGAGATCTTAAACACCCATTGCATCACAGTTCTCTCCAAAGCAATTAATGCACTGGTCCTCTCAGCCCATAGGTAACTGCATTCAGACTGTTTTTAGCCTGCAGTATTAACTAGATCAGTTGTTCTCAACCAGCGTTCTGGGGCGCCCTGGGGGGCCACGAGCAGGTTTCAGGGAGTCTGCCAAGCAGGGCCCGTGTTAGTCTTGCAGGGGCCCAGGGAAAAAAAGCTGAAGCCATGCTGTATGGGGCTGAAGCCCAGTGCCACGAGCCCTGCCGCCTGGGGCTGAAGCCGAAGCCTGAGCAACTTAGCTTTGCGGGGACCCCTGTGGCGTGAGGTCTCAGGCAATTGCCCTGCTTGCTACCCCCTAACACTGGCCCTGGCTTTTATATGCAGAAAAAACAGTTGTGGCAAAGGTGAACATTTTATAGCTTGTTGGGGGCGGGGGGAGAGAATGAGAAAGAAAAAGGTTGAGAACCCTGAACTAGATTATTAATTATTTAGTTTACATTAACCAAAAAAATATTATTTCTATTATATCTTTTTGGTTTGAGGTACCAAGCTACAACATGAAGTCTCAAAACAAACAAATCACTATTTTACAAAAAAAAATTTCAGCATAGAACAAAATCTAAAATATGCCAAAATCAATGAATCAAGAGAAAAATGATTACACAGCTAGGTGGGGCCTGTAACTCCTTACGGCATGATTATAAATACACTCAAGACATGCATGTCAATCACTTAATAGCTTGCGTTGAAGCTAGATTCTCAATTCACGTCAATCACTAAGTCACATGACCTGGAAACATGAGAACAATGCAGAAAGTTCACTAGTTGAGCAAGCATAATGTGCTATAGGGACAAGTGATTTAATTTAAATTAACAGAAAATCCTTGGTGGAAAGTTTGTAGAGGAAGGAATTCCTCCTTCCTTACTGTAAATTTGTTTTCACTCTTTTTATAAAAAGAAAATGAGTACTTGTGGCACCTTAGAGGCTAACCAATTTATTTGAGAATAAGCTTTCGTGAGCTACAGCTCACTTCATCGGATGCATTCAGTGGAAAATACAGTGAGGAGATTTATATACACACACAGAACATGAAAAAATGGGTGCTATCATACACACTGTAAGGAGAGTGATCACTTAAGATAAGCTATTACCAGCAGGAGAGCGGGGAGGGGGGTCGGGGGGCGCGAGAAAACCTTTTATAGTGATAATCAAGGTGGGCCATTTCCAGCAGTTAACAGGAATGTCTGAGGAACAGTGGGGGCTGGGGGTGGGGAAATAAACATGGGGAAATAGTTTTACTTTGTGTAATGACACATCCACTCCCAGTCTCTATTCAAGCCTAAATTAATTGTATCCAGTTTGCAAATTAATTCCAATTCAGCAAGCTCTCGTTGGAGTCTGTTTTTGAAGTCTTTTTGTTGTAATATTGCGACTTTTAGGTCTGTAATCGAGTGACCAGAGACACTGAAGTGTTCTCCGACTGGTTTTTGAATGTTCTAATTCTTGACGTCTGATTTGTGTCCATTTATTCTTTACGTAGAGACTGTCCAGTTTGATCAATGTACATGGCAGAGGGGCATTGCTGGCACAGGATGGCATATATCACATTGGGGATGTGCAGGTGAATGAGCCTCTGATAGTGTGGCTGATGTGATTAGGCCCTATGATGGTGTGCCCTGAATAGATATGTGGGCACAGTTGGCAACGGGCTTTGTTGCCAGGCTTTGTTGTAGTGGTTGTGTTGCACCAGCAACCACACACCACACAACAGAACCACTAACCCAGAAACCTATCCTTGCAACAAAGCCCGTTGCCAACTGTGCCCACATATCTATTCAGGGCACACCATCATAGGGCCTAATCACATCAGCCACACTATCAGAGGCTCATTCACCTGCACATCCCCAATGTGATATATGCCATCCTGTGCCAGCAATGCCCCTCTGCCATGTACATTGATCAAACTGGACAGTCTCTACGTAAAGAATAAATGGACACAAATCAGACGTCAAGAATTAGAACATTCAAAAACCAGTCGGAGAACACTTCCGTGTCTCTGGTCACTCGATTACAGACCTAAAAGTCGCAATATTACAACAAAAAGACTTCAAAAACAGACTCCAACGAGAGCTTGCTGAATTGGAATTAATTTGCAAACTGGATACAATTAATTTAGGCTTGAATAGAGACTGGGAGTGGATGTGTCATTACACAAAGTAAAACTATTTCCCCATGTTTATTTCCCCACCCCCAGCCCCCACTGTTCCTCAGACATTCCTGTTAACTGCTGGAAATGGCCCACCTTGATTATCACTACAAAAGGTTTTCTCGCCCCCCCCCGCTGGTAATAGCTCATCTTAAGTGATCACTCTCCTTACAGTGTGTATGATAGCACCCATTTTTTCATGTTCTGTGTGTATATAAATCTCCTCACTGTATTTTCCACTGAATGCATCCGATGAAGTGAGCTGTGGCTCACGAAAGCTTATGCTCAAATAAATTGGTTAGTCTCTAAGGTGCCACAAGTTCTCCTTTTCTTTTCTTTTTGCGAATACAGATTAACACGGCTGCTACTCTGAAACCACTCTTTTTATAGTGAATATTGTGAAATGTATTGAGCTCTCTCAATACAAAGTCTTCAATTTTTTCTGTCCCCCTCTGCTTTGTGGCAATGCACAGTACAGAAAACAGAGACAAAACAAAAAGATTGTGAAAGTGTAAATTTAAACTTTTAATTCTCTCTATTTCATGATTTTCTTACATGAAAAATATGAAGAGTAGAAATATATTTTTATACCTACAGATTTATACTGTGATTCTAAATGAGTAAGCTGTTAGAATGTAAATGTTAGATTCACATGTAAATTCAACTCATTTATTTCAGCACTAGGCTAAAAATACATATCTATCACAACTTTTTGAAAGCTGAAAGATACTAAGGTTTTTATGGTTATGACTAGGTCATGAGAAGTCCAAACTAATAGCTTAACTAGCAGCTGCAGAGGCAGTCCGGGTTCTAGGAACATGAATGCATAACTGGAAGACAGGAACTCCTCAGTTCCGGTATCAGCCCTGCTAAACAACCACCATATGAAGTTGGGCAAGTCATTTCTCTCTTTCTCCCAGTTTTCTCATCTATAAAATAGGATAAATATTTCAATATCAACTACAGTCCTTCACAGGACTGATGTACAGTGTTTACAATGTGTGAAGCACTATGTTATATGAGAGATGGGAGCTTGGGTTGCTTGTTTATCTGCAATCTGGCCAGGCCTCCTTCCCAACCTGAAGAGTATCTCAAAGGAGCCTCCCACTTTTCTACAGCCAAGTAGGACTGTGAGATAGACAAAGACAGATTTGTTTCTCCATTTGTTGCCTGACCCAACTCCCATCTCCAAACCAGAAGCGCATCTTAGGTGAAGTATTACCCTAGCTTCCCCACGATACATCCCAGAAGCCCTGAGAGCATGTCTACACTGCAACTGGGAGGTACGAATGCAGCATGTGTAGACATACCCAAGCTAGCTTTGACCTAGTTAGATCTAGCTACCTCAAACAATAGCAGTGAAAATGTGACAGCATTGCTTGCCGCAAACCCTGGGTACATACTTGAGAGGATAAGCTGTGCTGCTGTGGTTTCACTGCTATTATTACTCAAACTAGCTTTAGTTCAAAGCTAGATATAGTTAGATCAAAGCTAGCCTACATATGTCTACCTGTGCTGCAATCACACCTCCCAATTGCAGTATCAACACAACAGGAGAGGCAGGCAGTAGCTGCATTCCACCTGCAGCCTGGCCCTTCTACTGAATCTGGAGAAGAAAATCTGAGAACTATAAATATTTGTCTCTGCTTTTCTCTTTTTAGTTAAACACGAGACAGATGTAAGACTGTTGCTTTACACTTACCCATACGTGCAGGAGACATACAATGGATCAAGTTTACTGCCTGCTTATATCAGTAAAAACTATGTTGGAAGGCTCTGGTGGCCAAAATTACACAACCAGGTTGTGCAAACTAGTCACAAATCCACCTTAATGGGGGCTGCATGGGTCCTGTGCAGACATGAAAATGTGAGGCACAGTCCAAAAAGTAAGCATTACCAGGATGGTGTTAAACTGCACAAAATCAGCACCTCCCTTCACAAGATTCCGTTGCTTTAATTTTTGCGAAGAAATAAAGGATATTGAAACAGTCTCCCTAATGTAAACCCAAAGCAGAGAAGAAAATCACTCCTTTGTGGCCTTGAGTACAATTGCCTTAGCTGACACAGGAAAGAGTACTTCACACCCTTGTGCCATCTTTATTGGACTTGGTCCATTAACTATTGATTAACAGTGATTTTATTTTTAGATAACAATAGATTATTATAGATATCAATATCTATTTGTAAGTTGTTTTTATATATTTAAATTTTCACAGCTGCACAGAATTATGGGTTATAGGCATTTTTTCCTATTTTTCTCAATAAAAATCTTCCGTTGCAGGAAATTTAGAGAAACTGAAAATATATTAAGCATTTTAAACATATGAGTTGTATTTACCAAACCACAGCAAAAAAGACAATTTAATAATAAATGTCCTATTTAGAAAAAATGATTTTAATATAGCAAAATGTTTAGAAGCAACTGGTATGCTTGCAACAGACAGTACAGATTCACTTATGCAGGTATTAAACAGTTATGAGGAATACGGTATTCACTTCTAAACATCATTGTTCAAACATACAAAACATTGCCAATATTTAATGACTAAATCACAACAAACAAAAACATTGCAACACAACTGGAAATGAGTCAACTGAAGAATAATGTCATTACCTCATCATGTGTGTATCTGTAATCTGCCTTCTTTGACTTGAGGTCCCATAATACTACTGTTCCAGACTCATAGCCAATCAGGAGCTGCAATAATCAGAGTAAAGAACGTTGAAGGAAAGAAAATTACTTAAAATACCTGTAATTCTTGTTCTATGAAGTAGATACTGCAACAACATTAGATCCACCCTCTTGTATCTTTATTCCTACACGTGACAAGGAATCCTCCACGTGATGGGGCGCACTTTCCCCGCATAGGTACTGCGAGGGTTAACTTCACCCTCTGGGCCGAGAAGCCCATACCCCAGGAGGATAGGTAGAAAAGGGAGCAGCTCAGCTCATTCAGCACAGACTGCCAAAGAGAGAGAACGCACGCTTCAAGCTCCAGCCCAGGAACCGTAGAAGTCCCAGACGGCGGGAGCCAGGGACGCTGTGACTCCAGAGGATGCCCAAGGAGTGGCAGACCTGTTGGGAGCCACCCTGACTGAGAGTCCAGAGTCCACGGAGACGCTGGGACCCTAGTATCAGGAACCGGATAGGAAGTAGCTCAGGGAGACCAGTTGTGGAGCTGAGTGGAGTCAGTGTATTATGGTGGAATCCCCGCTGACCTGGTGGCAAGCACACTTGCCACTAGGTCATGCAGCCCCAAGGAAAGGGCAGCTACACGGATTCTGGCTTCTAGGCCATAAAACCCTGAGAAAGGGGCAGCCCTACTGAATCCGACTGTTAGGCCATACAGCCCTATTGATGTGGGCAGTTAGACTGACAACTCTGGCCATTAGGCCATGCAAACTTGAGAGAGGGGGCGGGCCTACTGACTCTTGCCATTAGGCCATACTGCCTTGCTGAGCCAGCTGGCCACACTGACTCTGATCACTAGCCAATACACCCTGGCCGAACCAGAAAACCATTTTGATTTGGGCAATTGGGCCCCACAGCCCTGTGGGAAGGGGCCGTTACCCTGACTCTAGCCATTGGGCCACATAACCTTGAGAGGAGAGGCTGACATTGACTTTAACCATTAGTCCTCACCACCCCAAAACCAAGGGTGGTCAGAAGGACGCAACTGTGGGGAAGTTATTACCCCGCCTCACCCCAAGAGGGGACGGGGCGCACTTGCCCTGCGACACTCCACAACAAAGTTCTAAAACTACTGAACTACTTCACTATTACACAGCAGATACATGGTCTCAAAAAGGTAACTCGTGGGCTATCAGACATCTATTGTACCATCCAAATTTCTGTAATCACAAAATATTCACATTTAATAACAAACTGAGTACTACATTATCACCAAACCATGTTCAAGCCAAAAAGTTTCATAATTAAACATAAAAAGAAAGGGAGTACTTGTGGCACCTTAGTCTCTAAGGTGCCACAAGTACTCCCTTTCTTTTTATGTTTAATTATGTTTAATTATGAACAAGTACTCCTTTTCTTTCTGCGAATACAGACTAACATGGCTGCTACTCTGAAACCTATAATTAAACATGTGTACATTAATATTGTCATGGAAGGCAATATTTTTACTTATATTTTGGGGTACAATGGCCTTAGCTGTTACAGGAAGGAGTACTGAACTGTCCATCATTTTTTGATTTATTCCATTAATTAATTAACAGTGATTTTATGTAATAGAAAATAGATAATTTTAATAAAATTTGCATGGTGCTGAATGATTTTTCTTGATTCCTGCTTCTCTCTCTGGCCAGCATGCATTTTCTCAAAATTAAGTTTAAAGGACTGTTAGCCAACCACTTTGCTCACTTTTAAAGTAAAGTTCCCTTCCAAACAACCAATTCTATCACAAATACATTTAAACTTTTCTTAAGCATGGTAGCTTGCATTGTATAGACAGGTCCTGAATAGGTAGAAATGTAAATCTCCTCTTTATAGATATGTCTTCCAGTAAGTAGTCATGTCACAGAATATGTATCTGTCATGTGTGGTTTGTTCTCTCTTTCTCACCAGGAGGTATATTTGTATATGCTCTCCAGCATTTTCAGAGGGTTATACTTTGTGGGAATGGTTTTTAAAATGTACACACTTCTACATGTTTGATGCAGAACTAAGGTTGAAAAAAAATGTGCAAGATCAAAGTAGTGAACCTTGCCCTGGGAGCAGAAGGTGGTGAAATTTGAGATGGTCTTTTATTCTGTAGGAGTTTACCCCACATAGATAAGTGCTCTCGCTCTCTCTTGAGGCGCCACTTGCTACTGTCCCCTCTAAATGATCAGAACCACTTTGGAGTGAATTAATGCATTAATCTTTAATGTTGCAAGATAGAACAAGGAATTCCAGTTAAAAAAATTAGTTTAAAAAAAAAATCAGTAATCTACCATTTGAGTTCTACAGAGAGTGTCAAACTTTTTCCCAAGCATGTCTTGCAGAACTATATTAGTGATTAGAAAGAAGCAGATATTGAAAAATATCTTGTAAGGAATGCTCTCCACTTCTATTCACTTTCAGAATAGGTTTATATCCTCCACAGATTGCTTAACTAAATTTACAGCTGCTGTAGTAACCCTTTCCCTCTTCCCTCCAGATAGATAAATATTTGTTCAGAACACCAGAGCTATCTATCTATCTATATAAATAAAGGGGCCTCTTTCTCTCTTACATATTTGTCCATTCTATGTCCCTCTTACTTTTCTTTTTCTCTCTATAGGCACACACAAGATGATGCAATCTTCTGTACCCTAATGGTAGCAGAATTATCAGACTCCCTTCAGGCTGCTACCAAAAAGCACAGCACTACCTAATCCTGCAAAGAATAGAAGTCCTGCAAGGAGAAACATTGTAGAGGACAGCAGGAGGTGAGAAGCACTGATCAGTAAGGAGGAAGACAAACAAATTACTCAATGCCTCTGCACTGTTCCCACAGCATGAGGGGACAGGGGTTTACTGGATGAATGGATATATGTTACCTGAATTATCCAAAGGCACCAGCTACTTTTAGTGGTTCCAAATCCACTAAACATTTTGTAAATCACAATAGGAAAATCACTAAATCACAATAGGAAAAAACAAATCATGCAGTCACTGATGACAGCAGCCCTAAAAAGCACATGCTAAAGTTTATCTATCTTGCCTCTGACTGTTTTCAGCCTCTCCATTTTCTTTCACTATATCCCTATTGCCCATCACAGTAAGCTCCTTCTTCATTTATACCTTCTAGGATCTTCACAACTAACCTTTGTTCTATCTCCGCTTTCATAATTGCTTCAGCACACACACTCACTTCATTTAGCCCAAATAGCTCATCTGATCAAACCCTTCATGCTATTTTACTATGCCTATCTCAATACTTTTGGGCTTCCCCTAGCCCTGTATATCCTTGATATATCCTTTCCATCAGGAGTTTTTCCTCATGTATTGAGTACTTCCTCAAAATCCATGGCACTTGTATCAGGTTGTCTTTGGTTTATTTCTTTTTTTAAAAGATAAATAAATACACTTTCACATCACTCAATCTCGCTCTTTATTGAGATTTTCAAATTCAACATACCTTTCCTTCATCCATTGGATTGTCACTAATATGGACAACAGGTCCTGGATGAGATTTGGACGATCTGAAAGGGAAAACATTTCCATCTTAAATAAAACAAACACATTTTCCCCCCAAAATCTATTACAACTAGTTCCTTTTGAGATGAAATCCCGTTTATGCATCTCAGATTCACATTAGCTCTTTTGGCCACATCATCACACTGGGAGCTCATGCTCAGCTGATTATCCACCATGACTACCAAATCTTTTACAGAGTCACTGCTTTCCAAGTTAGGGTCTCCCATCCGGTAAGTATGGCCCTACATTCTTTGTTCCTATATGTATACATTTACAGTTAGGCATACTAAAACATATATTGCTTGCTTGTACCCAGTTTTCCAAACAACCCATATTGATGCTAAATCAGTGACCTGTCCTCTTCATTATTTACCATTGCCCAGTTTTTGTGTCATCTACATACTCTACCAGTGATGATTTTATGTTTTCTTCCAGCCCACTGATAAAAATGTTGTGAACAGCTACATATTGCAATTGCTGCAACCATAGTGAATCTATTACTATGTTACATTTATTTTATTTACCTGTATTTTGATTTTTTTAATTGAGAAGCAGTGATACAGCAGCCTTTATTATTTTATCCCACAGTAGAAAAGTAGCCTTAATGTTGACCATTCAGTATGCGTAAAACAATGTGCAAAAGTGTATATTACCACTAACTAATTTATTAGCTGCTAAATCACAAAGTCGCGGAGAATGTAGGATTCTACAGCCTCACAAATCATTAGCCCCAGCCACATCTCATTTTTTGGGTAATAATTTGCGTTTTATTATTGAAAAAAAACTTTACACATTAACTGAAAGACCCATAGATATAGCTTTGTGTGAAACAGGGTATTGCATGCTCTGTTTGTAATCCATCAATTAATCATCAAATAACAAAGCTTTGAAAATAATTTACAAATATGAATTGGTCTGCACTATACTGAAGAGCCGGCTAAACACCCACTATTTTTGGATTTCTTTTCCATTTCTGTCAATACACTATCAGCTTCTGTTCCTTTCAGTTTAATCTAAATATCAGGATCATTTATTAAAGACAATTTCACATAAGTGTTTTATCCCTAGCTATACTTAGTATGTGACAACTGTTAGTTCAGTAATGAAAGAAATATTCCAGGATCAATAAAACCAAATTCACTTATTTTAACCATTGTTATTTAAGCCTAAAAATTTATTGTGAGCACAAAAATAATCCTGCTGAATTGTACAGTTAATGACTAATGAGTTTTATTGTCTATGGGCCCATCCTGCCGCTCATTCCATTCAAAAATGCCATTTAAACAATGGCATTTTTGACAAAGTGCATGCACGGGTCCAAAAGTTGTGTGCCTAAGTTAAAGTTACAATAAATGTTCTATAAAAGATCTGAACTAGAAAGAGCCCCAGAAACCTTTAATTAAATTATCATTATGATGATGCCATCTGACATTGGATTACAACAAAAGCCACCAGACAAAGTCATATGGATGAGATAAATTAACACTTTTTGAACATTACAATCCTGTAGTCAAATATTTGAATACCGAAAAACTGGTTGGGAATCAGGCGGACTCAGGCTTCAGTCACCCCCTCCTGGGGTCGTGTAGTAATTTTTGTTTTCAGAAGGGGGTCGTGGTGCAATGAAGTTTGAGAATCCCTCTTCTAGAAACATGCAGATGCGTATATAATATAGAGAACTGTACATACTGTAGAAAATTCAGGGAGATTCACACACAAAGTGAATTGTACTGTACTTTAAGACTACTTTTCTGTTAAGAAAGTCTGGCAGCTGCAGTTTCACTTAAGAACTATAAAATAAAATTACATATTCTAAATTTCAGACATCAGATAAATGAAATCAATACTGTACTTAAACATGATCTACATACCCATCCTGGCAATGCTCATCACATCACATAAAAGATGTAAGTTTTTTTTGTTTATTCCCCACACTCATGTAGAAAAGAATTTTAGACCAGAACATATGTATATGTTTCAGATTTCTGGGAGATAAAATGTGTTTATATTATTTCTATTTAAATTTGTTATTTAACACAAATGACATTTCTATAATTAACAATGGTATCCGGAACAAATATTTTTGTTTTCAGGTAGGTAATACTTAACCAAACTCACAGTTCAATGGCTTTATTCCACATGATGACATAGCCTGAGAGCGTAAAGGATTCCACATTGACAATGTGAATGTTTCCTCTTTCAGTACCCACATACAGCCATTTACTTTGGAAAGGCAGATGGCAAAATGTTATCCTGCAAGATACAATGCATTCAAAAAAGTAATCAGGAAAATTGTTTATATATCCTACAAATACTTTGTTAAAGCCCAACATCAGAAAACCAAATCCAGGAAGAGGGAACTATTTTATTTGTATATATAAATCACTCAGCCATATGAAATTTTAAACTTCAGAGACCTGGTGTAATTGCTACATAAAAGAGCATGCTTCAGAAATTATGATATAATTAAACCGGTCTATAACAAACAAAAATTGCAAGTGTGAAGGTTATCCTTGGAACAAAGGATAAATCTTCACTTAAAATTTGAATGCCTTATTTGCAATTTATTTTAAGATATTCTAATTGTACACTGGGTTTCCAACTGCTTTTTAAAATTAATCTCACCATATTACTACTTTTTTCCAGTTTCAAGGGCACAATGCATTTTAGATGTTGCCTTCTGTTTTATATATTGGTTTCAAGAGACACCAGGTTAATAAATCAAATACAATAAATATAAATTGTGACAAGTAATTTTAATTTTATACCAATAGTTTTTCTTCCAAAAAATATTTAAATAATGCAATATTGAATTATAACCAATTTCAACAAAATTTCTTTAAAAATAATTTTAGGCAGTGAAGTTGCTCCACTACGTCCCTGCTAAACATTAGAGTTTTACAACCATATTTTTTTCCTCTGGCACTTGTATTTCTGTGTCGAAGATGTACATAAACATGGGGAAAAGCTAATGGTCACTTATGAAGCAGCTTTGTGCAGGCATAAGACACCACAAGTATGTAGAAAACAGAGTTTTTACCTAGAACGTGCTTTGGGCAGGGAGACTGGGATGAGAAACATGAGGAGTGAAGACAGACTGGATAGGCAAGAAGAATGGGATTAGGGCAAGGGAAGTTGAATAGGAAGGCCTGGGATAGGGACAGATTGGAGAGGACAAGACAAAAAGTGTCAGCCTGTAAGAGGGAACAGATTAAAGAATCTGTGTTCACTTGAGTGCACATTCCTTCAGAGTCCGGAATGGAATCCAAGATTTCCTAGAGTTACCCTTCCTTTGCAGTCAATAAATCTCTCTGAAACCCTGTGGGCAAAGTGTCCAGCCCTTCCCATTCCCCTCTAATGCTTGTCTAAAAACATAACTGTCAGCAGAATCTTGCACTTTAGGTTCTTTGGACTCAAAGATAGATCTCATCCAGCCATGTGAATTTACCGTCCCCTAAGTTTCTAGAGGCCTTAATAACTGTTAATTCTACACTATGACACCCTAACAAACAAATGCTTGTGAGAAATTTCCCAATCATCTTCTATAGTAAAGTAAAATCGAGCTTCATTGCAACCTTCTCCATCCCCTTTAATGACACTACTCATTTTTGGTGGGTTTGAGAACTGGTGTTATAATGTAATATACACTCTAAAACACTTACAAGACTTACACTCTGTCTGCTTTTATTTGAGCTGTTAAGCTAGTAGAATGATCACCACCACAAGATGCAGGGAGCTATAATAAGTGTAGGGATTATCTGGTTACTTCAGCTAGAAGCAAGATTACATTTTAGTCACAGGTATTTTTGGTAAAAGTCACGGCAGCCAACAAAAGTTGACAGCCATGACCTGTCCATGACATACTAAAAATACCTGTGACTAAATATCTTGTGTGGGGAGGTTGGGAGCTGGTGCTAGGGTACCAGCTGCTGGGTACCAGCTGCCTGGGGCCATGGACTGCAGCTGCTCTGGCTGGCTGGCAATGGGCTGCTGCCCACCCGGGGACGGCTGCTGGGGACTGTGGCTGCTCTGGCCGCCCATCCAGGGACCATTGCCCATGGCCACCCAAACAGCTGCCAGTGCAGCCGGCTGCAGGGCTGCTCCAGCAGTGGCCGGTGTGGCTGTGCCAGAGCCAGCTGCTTGGGCAGTCCTGGGATCAGCCACGCTGGCCTCTGCAGTAGTCACGGAGGTTGTAGAAAGTCACGGAATCTGTGACTTCGGTGACCTCCACGACAGGCACGGAGCCCTAGCTATAAGGTTTGAAATATTCTGTGTTCCAGAGTTTTAAAAAAAAATGTCACTTGGCAGGCTGAAGTTGAATACAGACTGAACAAGAATGAAGTGGGGTTGTATGTAGCTTGCAAATAAGCATTTTCATACCTGCAACCCCATGTCATTCACCACATAGCCATGTCTCATTAACCATTCTCCCTGTGCATTGAATAAGACTGTGAGGTTTCTGTGGAAGTTAGTATGTGATCAGGCAGTTAAATATAATTATCACAATGCGTACAGACCCAAAGTGAGTTAAAGAAAGATTGATCAGAAAAAAACAATTCTGGCATTTTCCAGCTTTTGAGTTCTTGATTTTGCAACCTTAACATATTTTTGTAATTTTTATATATTAATAAATATATTTTTCAGTATGGGTCAGAGTTAACATATAAAATATCAAGAATCTGATCCTTATTATTTATTCAAAGTGTATTTTTAAAATCCTTACACCACAAAAAGTGCTCAATAAACTCTTCATAGAATATATCAAAGTATGCCTGTACAACTGTAACAACTTCAAAGAAACAAAAATCCAAAAATTAGGAAAATGCCATACAGAATATAAATTCACTGTACGAACCATAAAAAGAAAAGGAGTACTTGTGGCACCTTAGAGACTAACAAATTTATTTGAGCATAAGCTTTCATGAGCTACAGCTCACTTCATCTGATGCATTCAGTGGAAAATACAGTGGGGATATTTATATACACAGAGAACATGAAACAATGGGTGTTACCATACACACTGTAAGGAGAGTGATCACTTAAGACGAGCTAATACCAGCAGGAGAGCAGGGGTGGGGGGCTGGGAGAAAACTTTTTGTAGTGATAATCAAGGTGGGCCATTTCCAGCAGTTGACAAGAACGTCTGAGGAACAGTGGGAGGTGGGGGGGGGGGGGGAAGAGCAATAAACATGGGGAAATAGTTTTACTTTGTGTAATGACACATCCACTCCCAGTCTCCTCTATTCAAGCCTAAAATTAATTGTATCCAGTTTGCAAATTAATTCCAATTCAGCAGTCTCTCATTGGAGTTTGTTTTTGAAGTTTTTTTTGTTGAAGAATTGCCACTTTTAGGTCTCTAATCGAGTAACCAGAGAGATTGAAGTGTTCCCCAACTGGTTTTTGAATGTTATAATTCTTGACGTCTGATTTGTGTCCATTTATTCTTTTACGTAGAGACTGTCCAGTTTGACGAATGTACATGGCAGAGGGGCATTGCTGGCACAGGATGGCATACATCACATTGGTGGATGTGCAGGTGAACGAGCCTCTGATAGTGTGGCTGATGTGATTAGGCCCTATGATAGTGTCCCCTGAATAGATATGTGGACACAGTTGGCAACGGGCTTTGTTGCAAGGATAGGTTCCTGGGTTAGTGGTTCTGTTGTGTGGTTGCTTCAGGTTGGGGGGCTGTCTGTGATCAAAGACTGGCCTGTCTCCCAAGATCTGTGAGAGTGATGGGTCATCCTTCAGGATAGGTTGTAGATCCTTGCTGACGCGTTGGAGAGATTCTAGTTGGGGGCTAAAGGTGATGGCTAGTGGTGTTCTGTTATTTTCTTTGTTGGGCCTGTCCTGTAGTAGGTGACTTCTGGGTACTCTTCTGGCTCTGTCAATCTGTTTCTTCCCCCCCACTCTCCTGCTGGTATTAGCTCAGCTTAAGTGATCACTCTCCTTACAATGTGTATGGTAACACCCACTGTTTCATGTTCTCTGTGTATATAAATATCCCCATTGTATTTTCCACTGAATGCATCCGATGAAGTGAGCTGTAGCTCATGAAAGCTTATGCTCAAATAAATTTGTTAGTCTCTATGTTGTCACAAGTACTCCTTTTCTTTTTGCGAATACAGACTAACACGGCGGCTACTCTGAAACCTGTACTAACCATATTACAACCACATAAAATAATCAGTTATTTTGTTTCAGTTTTGTGTTGAATGCAGTAAATGAGCTGTTACATTTTCAAGAATGTTTCTTTTATTTCTTGAACGGATTAAAAAGTAATGTTTTTCATTGCAATGAATGTCAATTAAATATTGGTACTATGGTGGCAAGAGTTCAAATCTAAAATATTTCAGTTATACTAGCATCACACAGGAAAAGTAATGTATTAAACCTATGTACATTTTTCCCCTTTAAGCAATAAAATCCATAAGGGCTGATATCAAAGAGCAACAATTCTATGCTAGTTATAAACTCTAATCTTATTAAATGCAAAAACTTATGTGAAATCAACATTAAGGCTGCACAGTTAATATTGAAGTATGAAAAGCAGAAATTAAAGTTCTAACAGCAACGTTAATTTGGCTATATTGCAGATCCTGTATATTTTACAACATAGGTACTATAATAAGCATTCAGTTCCCAAATCTGAGTGTATTTAACTGTTTGAATTACTTATTATGATGACTTCAGTATTTTTCATTGAAAAAAAAATCTCTCAGATGTGCTGCAGCCTGCACCAAAAATAAGTTTGAAAATCTGGCATGCAAGCATTTATAATATAAACATCTGATCTTCCATATAATTATACATATTTAGGTGCCAGCAATGTGATGCTGTTCCAGTCTACTTGAACATACAGATAAGTGCAATGTAAAAAATGTGCAAGGTTAGATTGTGATTAAGACTTATAAATTTGAGAGACTGAAAATGCCAATTTAACTATACGACAAACACCAGGTGGTATATCACAGCATGGATACCACATACTATTTCCTACAGGGTCTTATTTTCATGGAAGGTGTGCACAAATGTGTAAAAAGCTTAATTTACATGTGATAATACCATACCTGCATGTGCAAATTTATTATTTATATATGGCCAAACAGATACATATCTTTGCACATCCAGGTAAGGTATCTATGTCCATTTAAAAAGTCAAGGCATCATCAGTAAAAGCTGGATTAAATTGTTCCTTTTAAAAAAAATCGTAAGTCTTGAAGAGGTGGTGGTGTTGGGGAGCGGGAAGAGCA